TCACCGCTATTTGCCCCCCAGTAACACTCTGTCCACAGAGACCCCCCCATCCATCCACTGCCACCATGTCCCCTCCGCCCACGTGTCTCACCGCACCACCTGCACACAGGCCACACTCACCGCCCAGTCCCCGGAGACCAGCGAGATGGCGTCCCGCACCCCAGACACCTGCAGGCCCCGCCGCCTCAGCTCCGGGATCATGTCTAGAGCGAAGAAGAAGTAGGCGTTCCGGGCAGCCCTCTTGTTCGGCATGGCCGCTTCTCAGAAGATGAGTCTCCCCAGCTCCGCACAGGACCTGTCCGCGCACCGCGTCACGTGACTCCGCTTTCCCCCGCCAGCTAGGCGCTTGACGTCACTCAAGGAGGAGCTCGTTCCCAGAGCAGCCCAGGAAGACGCCGACGTGGGTCACGTGAAAAGGGTCGGCGCGCTTTCTCCTCCGAGTGACGTCAAGCACCTTTCGCTGGGAAGAGTTTCCTTCACTTCCTGTCCCACGTGCACAACAGGAAATGTTGGTATATATCTCCAAAGTGAGAAGAACTTCCTTATTAGGTCTCACCGGGCAGAGGTTCTAACCCTTCCATTGTATATCGAAATCTAGAGGGGGGGAAAAAAAACAAGTTTTGGGTGTAGGTATGTTTTAAGGTAGCCACGGAAGATGATTTTTGTTCCTTTTAGGCCAGATTGTGTGACCAACTGTGGAGGTAACTTGAGGCACCCGGACAGGTAACTTGAGGCACCCGGACAGGTAACTTGAGGCACCCAGTACCTTCAGGCACCGGGACAGGTAACTTCAGGCACCGGGACAGGTAACTTCAGGCACCCGGGCAGGTAACTTCAGGCACCCGGGCAGGTAACTTCAGGCACCCAGTACCTTCAGGCACCCGGACAGGTAACTTCAGGCACCCGGGCAGGTAACTTCAGGCACCCAGTACCTTCAGGCACCGGGACAGGTAACTTCAGGCACCGGGACAGGTAACTTCAGGCACCGGGACAGGTAACTTCAGGCACCCGGACAGGTAACTTCAGGCACCCGGGGAGGTAACTTCAGACACCCGGGCAGGTAACTTCAGACACCCGGGCAGGTAACTTCAGACACCCGGGCAGGTAACTTCAGACACCCGGGCAGGTAACTTCAGACACCCGGGCAGGTAACTTCAGGCACCCGGGCAGGTAACTTCAGGCACCCGGGCAGGTAACTTCAGGCACCCGGGCAGGTAAGTTCAGACACCCGGGCAGGTAACTTCAGACACCCGGGCAGGTAACTTCAGGCACCCGGGCAGGTAACTTCAGGCACCCGGACAGGTAACTTCAGGCACCCGGACAGGTAACTTCAGACACCCGGGCAGGTAACTTCAGACACCCGGACAGGTAACTTCAGGCAGACAAGTTGTACCAGAGTTTGGCTTTAAAGTCAATAACCTTCTGCTATCATGATGATGTCTTCGTGTCTCTTGTTGCTCTGTGCTGGGGTAAATGTTATTGTTATTGTATTTTTTCGGGAAGGTCCTCATCACTTCCTGTTGCACCGATACTATTTTTTCGGTATCAAGTACCGATATTTTTTTTCCGGTACTCACCGAATAACGATACCGGAAGTCCTATTAAGGAAGCCAGGCGGCATGTAAAGTCTCGCCACCCCGAATAGCAGGGAAGCCGTCTCCATGCTCCCTCGTCACCAGGGGATGAGGGAGCCGGCTTTCTGGCCAAACAGGATGCCGGGCGCCGTGGCCCGTTGCACCAGCTTCCCGATTGGTCGAGAAGCTGGCCATCAGGAAGCTCAGCAACACATCATTACACGGCTTCAGGACTGGCTGGGAAGCCGGCTCCATGCTCCCTCATCACCTGAAGCCGGCTTTCTGGCCCATGAGAAAGCCAGTGGGCGTGTAATGACGCTCCGCCCGGCTTCCTGATTGGCCTGTTACCCCTAGGCTCACCTCTAGATGCCCCCTGTACCCCTAGGCTCACCTCTAGATGCCCCCTGTACCTCTAGGCTCACCTTTGGTGCCCCCTGTACCCCTAGGCTCACCTCTAGATGCCCCCTATACCCCTAGGCTCACCTCTAGATGCCCCCTGTACCCCTAGGCTCACCTCTAGATGCCCCCTGTACCCCTAGGCTCACCT